GGTCGTTTTCCTTGGCAAATTTTTACCGCCAATCCGATATCAAATTCATCACCATCAAAAGGCCTTTGTCCTGTTCCAATTTCTATCATGATGATTCCGACGAATAGATATCTGATGCCTGTGTACACTCTTGACCTAATAAAACTTCTGGAGCCACGTATGGCATGACTCCATAGATTTCACAATTTTGTTTTGTGCTATAAGATAACATATGTCCCAAATCTGCAATACAAGCATTATATAAAGAATATAGTAAAATATTGCCACTATGGAAGTCTTGATGAATAAGTTTTAGGGAATGAATTGCTGAAGATTATCAGCAATACAATATAATAAAATTAATTTATCCTGCCATTTCATCTGTGATACTGCGAGAAGATTATTGCGTAAAGATCCCATTTCAACATATTTTAAGACGAGAAAATAATCTTTTGTGATTTCGTTTTGTGACATTCCATAACATCTCAAAAATGAGGGATTCTTGTATTCAATATCGCAATATGCCTTCAACTAAATTAATATGTAGAAATTAAAATAAATTTACAAAATAACAAATAAATAAAAAATAATTAATTAATTAAATGCCTCTTTAAAAAAATCGAGTGAACGGAATGTATTTGAATTATGAATTAATCTAAGAGCAACTTTTTTATTTGTTGTATTTTTTCTAGCTTTAAATACTGTCGCATATCCGCCTTATAAAAATCGACATCAATTGTGGTACTTAAGCGTCATCACGATTATTATCTGATAAATTGATTTTGATGTTCTAAAGATCTGTAGAAACATATGTTACATGAAATTTTTACGTATAATCAATCATGCAAAAATCACTAAATTTTGATGCTCTCAAGTACCTCACTCAATTAATCAGAGGTAAATTTTTTAATTAGTGTTCTCAGGTACCTCACTCAATAGATCGGAGGCGAATTTTTAATAGTCGGAAATTGAATAATTTAACCAAGTGTGCTGTCATTCGATGAAAAAGTCAGCGAGCTACAAACCATCTTTTTTTCTTCAAAATTGATAAAGGTTGCTCAAGCATTGCTTTTGCATTTTTTACATATAAATAATTAATTCTCAATAAATTTCAATCCGATCTAAAAAAAATAGATAATTTATTTTTAATAATCGAAACTTTTAAAGGAAAGGTAATAAATACAATCCATCTTTTACCTTTAATCAAATTGTAATGAATAGTTTTTCGTTCACTAAATTTAATAATTTTTCAGCAAAGATGACCCAAAAATTGGAGGATTTTGGGCTGATGTTTTCTAAATTTAGCGGATAAAAAATAGAAAGAGTACGTACCTCAAGCATTTAACTCGTCATTGATTGTGATACTTGAGTATTACATGGTTATTATTTAATTAATTGATTGAGATGGTTGAGAATACCCTTAATCAAAAATCAGCTAAAAAAATCATTCAGCAAATTTAAGTGTTTCAGAAACTATGAAATCAGCCGTAAGTGTAATGGCGAAAATAATAAAAAAATTCATCAGTCTGTTTTGGCATAAACCGTCTATATTTTTGCCGTTCATGTATAACTCTAGAAGCATCAATTACCAAAAATTTCAATCAAACAAAAATGGATTATTTATTCGGATAATTTTCTAAATTTTCTAAATTAGTAATTTCATAGTATGCAAATTGAGAGATTTTTTTTTCTTTTATTCCCCTTTTTAATACCATCACATATATGTTCAACAGCTGTTTGACAAGCGAAAAATTGGAGCGCTATTTCGCTAACGCAGCGCAGTGCTGCTACTGCTAGCGCTAATATAGATGGAGATATAGAGTAACAATCGGTTGAAATTTGTGAAACCCAAAATTACTAAAAGTAGCTAACTTGAAGAAATTCAATTACCGTTACCAAAAATAAATGCCAATCCAACCAAAATTTTCCAAAAATGTAATCCAGCGTAACACCAAACGCCAACAATTATTTCTTAACTGAGTTTTCCCAATTAATTGAGGAGCATGAGAATTTTAAGACAATAAACGGAAAAAGTCTTGTTTGATTCGATAAGAATAAAAATAGAGTTATTGAGATTTTTGGATTTCATCTCTTTAGTCATAGTAATAATTGTTCTATTTTCCTAAAAAAAGTTAAGCGCTTATTTTCTGTTTTAGTGCAATAAAAAAATTTTTTTTTTGAGTCTTAAATAATCGATTTCTTTTTAACCTTTATTTGGCATTATTTATATATATGATTGCTGTTCGATAAGCGAAAATTTTTGAGCGCAATTTTAGTAGCAAAGCGCTTCGATGCATAGCTATTGCGCATTAGATATAGCGCTATAGAGTATATATACAATTTGTTGAAATTTATGAAACTCAAAATTACTAAAGGAAAAAATTCGAGGAAGATCAATTACATAAATTAAGTATCAATAATTACCCAAATAAGTAATTTAGCGTAACACCAAACACTAATGAATAGGAGGATCCGTCGATGTTGCACGACTGATCCTTCACCCGGTCTGCAGCATATTTTACATTACCAGATGATTCCCCTAGTACATGTTATGATTATAATCCCACAATTCCACACCATTTTATTATAATAAAAATGGTGTGGGATTAAAATCATAACATGTACTAGCGGAATCATCTGGTATTGTAAAATAATTTTTATTATCCGACATTTCATATGATCATGTGAATTTTTTTGCCATGATTTGCTAAACATCACGGAAAAAACTTCACATGGTCATATTAACTATCGGATAACATCATTATTGAACATACGTACGACAAATAGCAGCAAATTGTTTTTTTTCATCGGAGTTAATTTCATTCATGTGACATTAATTCCGACAAAAAAAACAATTTGCTGTTATTTTTTGTCGTCTGTCCAATAATGTACACATATGTTGCACACCGGGTGAAGGATCAGTCGTGTAACATTGATGGCTCCTCGCTAAAGATTTTTTTTCATTCCTTTTAACACCGATTTCTTAGTTTACAATTAGAAGCCTATTGACCCTATTGGTACCCTATTGATACCCTATTGGTCTCGATTGGTGACTATTAACTAAATAGTTTACAATAAATAAAAACCTTATTGACCCTATTGGCACTGTTGTAACCGTGGGAGAGACTTGGCTAACATGAGGTCAAATTAGCTCAGGGTTACAAGCATAGGTTATGCGGAATGGATGTTCATTAGGGGATTCAGAATTAATTATGGCAAGTTATTAAGGAATGTATTTACTTTATATAGTTATTTTGTCGGAGTAAAAAGAATTAATTATTCTTTATTAGTTTATTCATTGCATTTATACTTTTCAAATTCTAGTGGTCTGAGATCAAAAATCTTGGATCTCAAACCGATATCGGTGGTTCTGGACCAAGATCTACGGTCTCAGCCCAATATCGGTAGTCCTAGACCAAGATCTATGGTCTCGAACCATATTAACCTCTTTTGGTGCCAAAAATAGGTTGGCCCTATTGAACCTCATTTTACCTGTGCGTGTTAGCCTTGTATCAATATTGCATGCTGTGGACTTTAACAATCACGATGCTAATTTAGTTAGACATTCAATTACACCAAAAATGAAAAGGCTATTAAACTAATTCATTACATGTTACGTGCGTGGCTTATCTGTTATATAAAACATAGAATCTTGTGATTTTATTAACTGGAAATTTTTTTCGTATAATAATCGGCCCGGTCGACCAGCCAAGACTCTAAGTGCTAATCGTCGAATCATATAAGGATAAATTAAATCTTCTATCGGATGTACGGACTTTCTACTTATCTCCATTTTAGTATAACAATATATATTTAATATATATATATATATTACCATTAACGTTAAACATTTAGCGTTAGGGTTCATTTATCTTGGTTGTCTAAAAAATAATCAAACAAATGTCTCTCTCCGAAAATCCACCTGTAAAATCATGGGATTTGGAGTTTCATTCAATAGTGGCAGCGTTTAAAAAAAGTGGCTTATGGGAATTGCCTATTGAACAGGCTCAAAAGCAATTTGTTGAGTCAAGTAAGATCGAGGTTCCTTCTAATATAATTATAGATCAAGTCATATTAGACGAACGATACAGGCAAGAGAGTAGAAAACATTTAGAAAAAGGTTTAAAAAAATATGAGGATGTGTTAGACGAGAAATGGAAAGAACCAAATGATAAACTACACGGAGAGTGGGTATACACCAAGGAAGAAGAAAGTAGAAATGATGAAATGGATAAAGTAGTATTCAATTTGCACGGCGGTGCATATTATCTAGGCTCAGCTGAAAGCAATAGAGCTGTTACATTTAAATACGCAGAGCATGTTAAAGCTCGAGTTTTTTGTAAGTTTCACATTAATAATACTTTTACCCACCAACGTCTAAACTAATTCATATTAAATCTTATCAATTTAGCAATTGATTATCGTCTCGCACCACAGAATCAATTTCCTGCTTCTCTTTGTGATTCAGTTGCTGCATATCTTTATCTTTTAGACCCTGGTCTAGATGCTGGATTTAAACCGATTAATCCTAAAAAAATTGTATTTGTGGGAGAGAGTGCAGGAGGCGGTTTAGCTCTTGCAACACTCTTATTTTTAAGGGATACAGGGTTACCTTTACCAGGAGGTGCAGTTGTATTGGTGAGCATTAAGTAACTAAATTAATTGCTTTTATTTTATTATCATATTTACATACGTACATATTATTTGTTTATATAAATTTTCAAGTCGCCATGGGTATGTATATATTTAAGATTAAATTTCATATCAAAAACGCTAACGAAATTAGCATTTCTAAAATAGGTGGACTTAACCCAAAGCATGCCATCTTTTTGGAATGCCGAACTAGATAAGGTCGATATTGTGCCTAGAGAATTGGGCGTACACAAAATTGAGTATTCAAGTCCTGTCGCAGACGAATTTATTGTCAATGCTAAGGCTCTATCTGATAAAATTGCCCAAAAAAAACCTACAATTGTCGGTCATTCCTCTTTCACTGAAGTACCTCGTATTCACTTATATTGTGCTAATGAAGCACTAGCTATCCCTTACGTTAGGTAAGTGCATCTTTTTTATCTGAGAATTTTACCGGTGAATATAATTTTAGTCTACTATATACTCATAATATTTGATTTATAGTCCTATGCTTGCAGAGTCTTTGGGAGACTTACCGCCTATCTTATGTGTAAGTTACTTTTTACAATCATTATCTTTAATAGATTTATTACTTACTTCGAAGAATATAACTAAAATATAATATTAATTGTAGCAAGTTGGAGAACTTGAAAGGGCTCGTGATGAAGGAATATTATTAAGTCATAAAGCTGCATTTCCTCATGAATATCAATTACCTTCATATGCAACTAAAAATTTTGAAAAGTCTCCTTTTAAGAATCCTACTAAAGTTATACTTGAAGTTTATGATGATATGCCTCATTACTGGCAGGTAAGTAAATTAATTTTCTGAAATATTGTTTTTTTGTCGTAAGCACGCGGTACTTGCAAATTTTTTATTCATATTTTATAATGATCAATTATACAGGTGATGTCTTCTTCTAAACCTTCTCAAATAGCGATAAAACGCTGTGGTGAGTTTATAAACCGTGTTACTTCTGTAGAAGATAATAATTCTTCCATTGTTGATCTTCTTAAAGAAGATGTATCTCCGTCTATTTCTATTTCTCCCTCATTTATTGCAATGAAAGTCAATACAAATGGTGAGGTCAGAGAATTGAATAAAACCGACCGGGATTGTCTGAAATGGGGTAAAATTGGCATGGTGCCTAAATTTTAAATAACAATTAAAATTTTAATTAATTGTTATTTATTTATATCACGGAGTTAATTCAGTAAATTAGCCAGGATAGGTGTTTTTGTAAATCTCGGTCTAGGCCCTCGTTTTTTAGATGGTTTTTCATAGATGCAAACTTTGTTGTGTCGACAGCAGTTAGCGCATCTTGCTTCTCCAGTACACTTTTCTTTCCTTTTCCTGCAATTTGAACATGCAACTTTTGTGTAGTTACGATTTGTTTTTATTGTGGGTTCAGGTTTTGTACTTGTATCATTTTGCATAGGGTTAGGAAGAATGCATACTAAGATAGTATTCTGATTCAAATAATTCAAACAGTAAATAAAATTATTAAGATGGTTCAAATCTCATTAGTGTATAAGCGCTATTTCGATAATAATTCCTTTAAAAATATTATATTTTGAATATTGTGTAGATGTATTAAGAAATTTGATATATGATGATAGGTAATTGTCTAGTAAGTAATATTAGTTATAAAATGAAAGCTTGTATTATGTGATATTATTATAGCGAGTTTAGCTCGCTGAAATTTATATTATTAACAGTAGAGATGGGCACGCGCGTGATCCGCGCATGATCCCGCGCGGGATTTTTAATATAAAATTATCTGGCCGGCATTACCATATAATCTGACTGGCATTAATATAATATCTGGCCTGCTTTAACATATTCACCGTAAATTCTCGAAATATCGAATTTTGACCCGAATTAAGCTTAATTTGGGCCGAAATTCGAAACAATGCCCACCGGTAGTACAATAAATTTGATTTTTTTCTATTGGACACGAAAAATTATGAATCTCGCAGATGTGTGATCCAATCCCGCGCGGGATTTTTGAAAAAATTGCGATTTGCCCATCTCTAATTAACAGTGTTTAAAGTTCAGTGTTCTCATGGCTCTCAAGGAACAGGTAGCTCTTTTTAAGAATATTGATATTTAAAATATGGTTCTCTTATTTGAGAATATTTTATTACTTTAAAATGTTCTCAAAAATTATTTAAAATAACACAATTTAATAAACTAGTACTCTGAAAGAATCATTTGGGATTGTTTTCTATAAAATTAAGCTCCCAACAATTTTTGTTGTAATTGAAGACCGATTTAAACACGGTTTTCGAGTGGTTTCACTTTTTTCTTCTTGCACGCGTGTTTTGTTTTGACGTCGGGCTGAGATCATTTCCTATGTACCACATCACATTATTTCCATCATAAAAATTTACTATTTACACCATTGGTTGTAATTTATCATGAAAATATGTTTGTCGTATATATGTTAGGGATGGCAAAAATTGTGTTTTTTATTAAATGTCATAAAAATATTATACATGAAGTTGTAATCTATCTAAGTTCTACTTTAGATAAACAAAGTAGTATCTGACTAATATTAAGCTCTAAATTAAATTTTCATATATTTAATTCTAATCAGATGCTGTTAGATATTTAAAGTAGTAAACTCAGATAGATTCAGTGTGTGAAATTCAATTTTGATTTTATGTTCTCACTAAGAACATTTTTCAAGTTCAAAAATTTTTTAATGTTCTCAATATGAAAAAATTAAACTTGTATAATATCAAAAAAATATATTTAATGTTCTTACATAGAGAAATATTTTAATAAATTATGTTCTTAAATTTTATTAGTATTCTTGGAAAACATTGAGAATATTGAATTTCGCACACTGGATAGGTAGCTACTTAAGATGCGACGTAATCATGTGATTAAAATTCCATAATCTGATTGGTTAATAAATAATCATTTGTTATTTATTATTTTTTATTGAAATTTTAAATATTTTAAACCATTTAAAACATGTTTTAAAACATTTGCCATCCCTAACCGGAATACAATCTCTAATTTTAAGTATCAACTTAAATTTCCAAAAATTTTAATTCTAGAAAATTTATATCTAAAATTATCAAATTTAACTAAAATTTTCTAAAAATTTCATATTATATTATAGTTTGTGCTACGCAGGAATAGAATGCCGCGCAGGTAGAATATTTTGGAATTTCAGAATAATTTAGAATTTCACAATTCTGACCTGCATTGGCTGTACATTAGATTAAAAAATATTCGATTTGGCATCCTAATGATACATATTTTATTTTTATCAAAATTTTATATAAATTTAACTCCTAAGATATACAGTATATAACTAGTATGTATTGGATATTGATGCTGGATCTAGAGACATAAATTTATGTAACTTAGTGCGATTGCAATTTGATTCGTAATCATTTTTATATTTGGTCAGGATTGTAATAAATTAAATTATTCTTATAATAACATTCTTCAAAAAAACGGTAAAATTTAAATATTGAATTACAGTAAAATCCAGAAAATAAGCACCACCACACCCTCTACCCTACTTTTTAAACCTCAGATTAACGGGAATAACTTGAGTAAAGACTTTATTGCTATTTCCGCTAATCTGAGGTTTAAAAAGTAGGGTAGAGTTTGTGGTGCCTATTTTCTGGATTTTATGGCATTAAAAATGCTTTAACAAACAAAAGAATGAACTTATAAAATTTCTAAATTTAATCTATTATCAGAAAAAATTTCGAGCTTTTAAAATAAAATTTTACGGGTCACAGATCCTCCTGCAAAAATTAAAATTTTGGGTCGGGTTGAAGCTCTAACCCGAAAATTATCAACCCGACACTGCCTTTGCTCCCTTTTCGGTCTGTTGACGTTATCGTCAACAAAAAAAAACAAGTATATAATGTGATGCTCAATACGTAAAAAAAAATAATAAATACTAGGGCTCGTGGGCCAATCATATCCAAGAATTTGCAGAGTAACATTAATTTTGATCACTACACTATGTTCATAGGCAGACATTTGTATGATTGGCTGTTTAAATCAACTTAATTTTACATTATTTATACAGTTTAAAGTACTTTTTAAAAAAAAGAAAACTACGAATAATAAACACAAAAGAATTACATAGAAAATTTATTAGGGTTGTAGGACTCCACTATTAAAATAATCAAAATTCTTTTTTGTTTTAGAGAAGTTAGCACGGTGATAAGAAGTCGTTATTATGCTAACTTCGCTAAATCAAATAAAAATTTTGATTATTTTTAATAGTGGAGTCCTACAACCCCAATAAACCTTTCTATATACTTCTTTTTTGTTTATTCGTAGTAGTTTTCTTTTTTTTAAAAAGTACTTCAAACTGTATAAATAATGTAAAATTAAATTGATTTAAGCAGCCAATCATACGAATGTCTGCCTATGAACACCATGTGATTTCATCTCTCGTTTCCTGGTATATATAAATTTGTGATTTTATTTGCATTAATTTCTTAATTAATACAGTATTTCATTTAGCAGCTTTCTTAAATGGCATTTAATCTTTTACCATTATATTTTTAAAAAGTTTACATTTTCAAGCAAAAATTTTATTGCTAGTAACAAAAATTATTTTTTCATCCGTTAATAATATTAATGTTCTAACGTATAAGTGTAATCCCTTGTCTATTTTTTTTTTGCTTTTGGTCTTTATCAAGAACAATTATATAATGATTTTTGCTATAAGGGCTCTGACATTTATTACGTAATATTTTAGGGGGTGGGGGTTGAGCATGTACTATATCAATATCTTACGTTAC